GTTGCCGTGCAGCGCTTCAAGAGCTGACCTGCGTTTGACCTCAAAGTGCACAAGCTTCAAACTTCAGCGTTGGCTGCGATTTTGAAGCTGAAATCGCGTTCAGTGTGAACGCAGCATAAGCCCAGCCCTCTTTTGGGTAAGAACAACAGTACTTGGACAGTCAGTAAAAACTAATCTTGAGCTGTTTGATAAATCTAAAAGCAGTAAGATATGTCAGACTAACAAAGACTTCCTGTCAGAGTGATCCATTTGTCTTAACTCGTCTCTCATTAAGGTTTGTTTTTTCCCTACATCTTGTTAAAACAAAGTGACTTTATGTAAAGCTGTAGTTTCATGTAATAAAGTGTCACACAGATCCAACAGTTTCCTTCTGCAGTTTAAATCTCTGCATCTTTGGCCATTTGAGACTAACTTCACATTTTCAGACAACTTCTTTATGGTTTGGACCTCAAACACAGCTCAGTTAGTAGAAGTTAAAAACCAGAACCAGTCTCCATGATGAAGCAGAAGTCCTGGATGAAGGAGAAACTCTTTACATTCACTTTACTGAAAGGTCTGATGTGTCAGAGCTAAACTTTGTTCTAAAAAGTGTTTTAAAACCCTAAAATAAATAAAAAATACTGACAATAACATGTTTCCTCCTCTTCCTCACCTCAGGTTCTTTGAGAAAACATGGATCCTCTTCAGAACTACATCAGTTCCAGATCAGAACCAGGAACCAAACAGAATCTAAAGCTGGTTTCTACCTCAGTTTATGTGAAACTCCGATGGAGGAACAACTCTTCAGGGTCTACAAAGAGGAGAGGATGGTTCTGAAGCTGGACGGAATCAGCAGATGCAGGAATGAGCCAGGTCCTGCAGAAACTGGACCTGGATGTGTTCGAAGCTGCAGAGTTAGTAGGAGGAGATGTCTGAGGAGCTGCTGCTGGTGCTGGTGGACGTCTGAGCTCGTTTGATGTAGAGATTCAAAAGCTTCATCTGCATCAGAACACATCAGAACCAAGAACAGAATCCATCAGAAAACAAAGGTTCTGTTTGTTGGTATCCAGTGCAGAGTAACATCTGGGTTCAGGCGTACATTGTGGGATACTCCAGGTATGAGATGAATAACAAAATAATGCCATAAATGTTTCTGTCAGAGGTCTATAAAGTACTTGAAAAAAAATAACTAAGTAAAAGAAATTTTACATGAACAGAAAAGGACTTTGGTAAAAATAAATTTCACTGATAAGAAAACTACTCAAGTAAAAGTCATAAAACTGTTCACAAAAATTGGAAAAGTAAAAGTACTTTTACACACTCTCTAATAAATTGTTGAATTAACTGAACCAAACTGGCCCCACTAAACCAGGTTGAGTAAATTGAGCAATACTGTATATGTATATTCTTTGCTCATTTTACTCATCTAAGCTTAGTGGAGCCAGCTGACATGACTTTGTTGAGTAAATTCAACAGTTCATGTTTTAGAGCGCAGAAACATTTTCTTTTGTTATGAGTTTAAACATTTAATTTTTAATGAGTAACTAGGTGTTAAATTTTAACGTAAAGAAGTAAAAGTACAATTTTTAGCTTTAAAATGTAACCAAATTAAAGTAAAAGTAGCTATTTAAAAAATAATTGGTAAAATTACAAATCCTCAAAAAAAACTACTTAAGTACTCTAACAAAGTAAATGTACTTAGTTACTATAAACCTCTGGTTTCTGTTTTAATTTATGGTGTTAAAGCTGCAGTTGGTAACTTACAATAATGTATTTTTTTACATATATTTTAAAACTGTCACAATGTCCTGACAGTAGAATATGAAACAATCTGTGAAAAAATAAAGCTCCTCTGGCTCCTCCCAGTCGACACGTTAGCAGATTTTAAATCTCTACACATTTGATGAGTCTGTGTGTTTCTGTTTCACTGGGAGCAAGAAGCAGTTTAAGCCCCGCCCTTTCTGGCTGAAAGTACCTTGCTGCCGGTCAGTGGGGACAGGAAAGGCTTCAGCTCCTCTCCAATCACAGAGTAAATGGCCACGAGGCAGAAGACGCTGGCCTTCCTCACGCTGCTCTCCGTGTTGTCGTAGCCCTGCATGGGCAGAAACCATCAGAACAACACACAGCAGATCACACTCGTCTGCGGGTGGGGGCGGAGCCTCACCTGCAGCAGCCCGGGGATGACGTCCGGCAGCAGCAGCAACAGTGGCTCCTTGGTGACACGTTCAATGGCCCTGGTCTGCATCTTGATGGCAGCCAGGTTGATGGGGTAGTCGGTGGTCTGGACTATGGGACAGAGGACCTTGATGCACTGCTCTGGGTGGATGGAGCTGGCCAGAGTGGACACCGCCTCCTCGGCCGCTCGCACCACCTGGAGGAGGAGCAGAAGAAGAATTGACGAGGAGAACCGGAGAGGAGGAAAAACAGAGCTCTGGAACCATCAGGCCACCTCTTTATGGGAGTCTTTATGTGCCTCCAGGGTCTTCATGATGGTCAGCTCAGCATAGTTCTTGAACCGGGCTGGCTGGTTCCTTAGGATCTCCTTCAGTACCCGTAAGGCCAGCGCTCGGATCAAGTGCTGAAAAAGACAGAACTCGTCAGAACCAGACACACAATCATTTCTTATCCACAGACGGATGGCGTCCTCACATCTTTGTCTCCGAGCGTCTCCAGGAGCAGCAGCAGCATGGTCTTAAAGTGCTCCTCCCAGACCACGAGACTGTCCTCTCGAGCCACCTTCAGCAGCTCCAGCAAAGTCCCCCGATGCTCTTTGGGGCCCCGGTCCTCGGCCTGTCCTTGGGAGAGTTCCTTTAGCAGCTCACTGACCAGCTCCAGCTGCTCAGCAGGACCGGCTGGACCAGAACCAAAAGATTTAAAAAGTTTCATGTCTGGATTAATTTTAAACTCTGGATGTGGGGATAATCTCTGGAATAATGTTAGACTTTGGGTTGGGTTTACCGGGGAAGTTCTTGGTGTTCATCATCTTGTTTTCAGCACTCTCTGGTCTCCGACCTGCCAACAGAACCACAGTTAGACACTTAAAGACGCAGCGTAACAGAGGAGTAAAAACTCCTTCTCACCGTCCCTCAGCTGCTCGACGGCATCTTCAAACTGAGTGGTTTTCTGGGCCGACCCGTCTGTATAGTTGGACGGGTTGTAGTCTCTGAAGCGCGGCCCAGTGAATGAAGGCAGCGAGGGAGTGTTCAGCAGAGACGTCTTGTTGTCCAGAGCCATGCGGCCGCTCTCCATCGGGTTGCCGCATAGCCGAGGATCAGAGTCCGGGGACGCCACATCCCGCCTCAGGTCTTCCTGGCTGCGCGTGCTGAAGGTCTGGATGGCTTCGGTGACACCGCACAGTGAGCTGAAGATCTCCTCTGAGTCCAGGTTCTCAGTGTCGTAGTCTAACATGCTACAGCAGAACCAAAGATCAGGACGGAACATGCAGCAGGACCTTCTTTGACAGGACACACACTGATGGATGTGGATCTGATCTGGGTCAGATTTACTAACAGTCTTGTATCAGACCTGCTCTGGTTCTGGTGCAGTGATTGGTTGGACTTTACTTACAGTGGATAAGTCTGTAAGCTTGAGTCATGAAATATCTACGGTATATCCTTAAAAACTTTATTAATTCAGAACTTTGCTTCGCTGATTTCTGTAGCTGACTCGGTGTCTAAACATCAAGATGTCTCAGAGGTCAAAAGGGCACAAACAGGAAAGATTCAGCGACTTCCTGAGCTGAAGGTTTTGAGAAACTCTACCTTTCTTAAGGCTCTGGATGTTGTGGGGCTGTCTTGGATGGCATTGCAGTGACATCAGGGGAAGTGTCGATGGATTGGCAGACTTGGGTGGTGGGTCCCCTCTTTAAAAAGAGGGACAGGAGAGTGTGTTCCAATTATAAGGGTATCACTCTCCTTCACCTCCACAGTAAAGTCTATTCAGGGGTACTGAAGGAGAGAGTCTGATCGGTGATCGAACCTCAGATTCTAGAGGAACAATGCAGATTCCATCCTGACCGTGGAACACTGGATCAGTTTTACGTTCACTAGGGTCCTGGAGGGATCATGGGAGTTTGTCCATCCAATCTACATTTGTTTTGCGGACATGGAGAAGACATTTGACCATGTTCCTCGAGGTACTCTGTGGGGGGTGCTCTGTGAGTATGGGATTGTGCGTCTGTTTTTACGGGCCATTTAATCCCTATACAAGTGGTGCAAGAGTTTGTTTCACATTGCCAGCAGTAAGTCGGACCCCTTCAGGGTGGGACATGGACTCCACCAGGGCTGCCCGTTGTCACAATTCTGTTCATAACTTTTATAGACCAGTTTGGTGGCCTCAGGATTCCATCTCTGCTATTGGCAGATGATGTGGTCCTGTTGGCATCATGGTGTCGTGACCTTCAGTTCTCACTGGAGCGGTTCGCAGCTGGGATGAGGATCAGCACCTTAAAATCTGAGTTCATGATCCTAAGGTCAGGAACTCTGGTATAGACCGAAAGAAGCAGATCTCACATACACAAAGTCCAAATGAGTTTTCTCTGCAGGGTAGCTGGACCTTCCCTCAGAGAAACAGGCTAAGTTCAGTTCTCCAGGAGAGAMWCATAGTAAAGCTGCGTCTGCTCCACATCCAGAGGAACCAGCTGAGGGGGTTCATCTGGTAAGGAGGACCCCTGGACAGCTACCTTAGTGAGATGTTTGGGATATGTCCAACTGGAAAGAGATCTCAGGGAAGACCCAGGTCACTATGAAAAGACTGTTTCCTAGCTGGTCTGGGAACACCGTGAAGTCCTCCTAAAGGATCTGGAAGAAATGTCTGTAAAAAGAGAGGTTTGGATCTCCCTGAGCTGCCCCCGAGACTTGACTCTGGATCAAGAGGAAGATGATGCAATGAATAAAAAAAACGTGCTGAGTTGACATTCAGACAAAAACTGTCTGCAGACATGTTGGTAAATTCTTCTTGTTTGTGATGAAATAATCTGTTCTTGTTTGATTTTTTCCTCCTTTAGTAAATCTGACCTTTAACTTTGACTTGAAACTTGATGGACATGATTCATATTGTAAAAATTAAATAAGCATCCATTCAATAATAAATATTTATGTCTGATAACATTTTTTAACACACAAACCACAAGAGGTTTTGTCCATGACGAGAAAACAGCGGCAGGTTTTCTGTCATTCGGTGCACATGGATGATTGTGCGCATAAATGAACAAACAGGCGACTGGACCAGAAACTGAAAACTTTAAAATATAAGACAAAACAAAGATGAAATTTGAGACGACAGAGATGGATCGATCAGGACAAGAAATCAGATCGGKGATGGAGTGGAAGGTGAGGGAGGTGGTGGGAGGGCGGGGTTACCTGGGGGAGTAAGAGCACCGTGAGGCCTTAAGGGAGGCAGCGGAAGGAGGTGGAGGGGAGGAGAAGAGGGGAAGAGGAGGGAATTTGGAGAGCCCTTCAGAGCTCAAAGACCAAAGCCGACTGCAGCGAGGAGGAAAAATCAGGAAAAAATACAAAATCAGACTATCAGCAAACATTTTAACTAAAAATATAAAACTGCAGATGACAAACGTAAAATGTGGCATCTTGCCTAAAAAGGGGAAGAGCTTTGTTTTTACCCTAAAAGAGGCGGAGCTTGTTTATAACCTAAAAAAATGGGCGGAGCTTTGTTTTTCCCATACAGAGTTTCAGATCTTTTTCACGCTGAAACGAACAGACTGGGTCGAGTCAGAACACATGATMTGCAGAGACAACGGTGTTTGTGTACCTGGGGGAGAGGCCTCCGTGGGAGTGGTTGGTGGGTGAGGTCAGGGGGCTGCCACGGCTGCCGGRGTGACGTGGAGGCGTCCGACCAGCCGAGTTAACGGGAGAAGACTGAAGGTGGAGAAAAAAACTCATTCAGAACTGATTATTTATGGCAGTTTGGGGTTTAGTTAACTARTTAACTAGGATTTTGACTGATATAAAACATTTGAAACAAATCACAGCYTTCTCTGGTTCTGTAGAGCCTCTAMAGACAGTCCAGTCCTGCTGACCAAACTACACCACCTAGTTGTRACCAGCTGGTGAAGAGGAGGCTGAATGCCCACTTAAGTTCAGAAGCTCTGGAAGGACCAACCACAGCAGTATGCTCAAACCAGATGAGTGGTCCGATGGTCCGAAAAGCTGGTTAAGAATAAACTAAAATGCTGTTTTGATAAGTTTCTTGACCAGTGACTCGGCAAAAAGATGGCCGCCATGAGCCCGGCGTTGCACCGTAAATGGTCACTCCAGAGTTTCTCTGCTCCAGCAATCTGTGGGACATGTGGTGTCTGTTACCATGGCGATGGCGGTGTTGGCACTGGCGTTCCGCAGGTGGTTGTGCAGCAGCCTGGTGGTCCCGTCCTGGAAGGTCTTGGGCAGAGCGCCCAGCAGCATGGTGAACTCTGGAGTGTTGAGCTCAAAGAGGGCGATCAGAACCACCTGAGCTGCCTGAACACACAAACACACCATGCCTCAGAGAAGACACACCTGCACACCGTTCAGAAACATCTGCAGGAAACAGCCAATCAGCAGTTAGAAGGTACAGGACCAGGACCAGGTCTTTGTTAGAAGCAGATTAAAGTGGACCAGGAACAGGGGCCTCATGTACAAAGACTTGCGTGGATTTCTTACTGAAACCTGACGTAYGGTCAAATCCAGAAAACGGCGTACGCACAAAAAAATCCAGATGTATCAAACTGTKCGTACGCCTGAATCCACGCACATTGCTTTTGTACATCACAGTTAACGTGGAACTGAGCGCAGGTAAGACACCTCCCCTGACACGCCTTCATTAACATATGTTAAACAGATGTTAATTACTTCCTGCATGTGTGAAGGACACGTTTGTTTGATCCCTGCGCGATCAGAAATGATTTCTAATATCATAAAAATAATGAATTTAATATAATGTGAGTGAGAAAAAAATCCCAAGTAAAAATAGGAATAAAATATGTTTATCATGCAAAGAACGAGCGATTGTGTGTCGGTGTGTGTGCATGCGCACACGCTGCTGTGTTGCGCAACCGGCTTATCACTTTGCGCACAAGTTTATTACCATAATTACTGTAAATACAGAGGAAATTCAATGTTTGGTAGAACATAGATCTTTGTTTATTTCAAGCTGATATGAAGAAACGAGTCTCTGCGTCTGAGTTCACATGACGTGACGTGATGTTGGAGTCTCCACAAACGCTGCGCTCCGCAGCCTTTGTGCGCAGTCTGTTTGTCTGTCAAGCTTTTGCTCTCCTACTTACAGCATTTTCACAAGTGGTAAAGTGTACTTCCATGTGTCATTTTGGAGAAATCTACAACGTAAACACCAAGTATGAAACATCTCCACTGCCGGCGAGGGTGCGCACGCTCGACCGCGACCATAACTCAGCCTTTAGAATCATATAGATGAGACGATTCCATTGGTCATGATTCAGCTTTGAGTGGACTGGACTGAGTCCCGATGGGTCTGCCAGCTCCCTCTGGAAAGCTCCTGTGGAACCCCAGTTCAATCGCAGCTGCTGCACGTGCACACACGTGGCTCGCTGTGTCGCGCTCCCGGAGCGCAGCAGTGCCAAACTAAAAATGATTTTTCCTCAAAACGGCTGATGAGCCACTCATCATCAGAAAATTCTATCTGTTTATAAATAAAAGCTCTGCGTGTTACACTATTTATTATATCCTCCAGTAAGGCTGAATCCATTCCTGTGAAAATGTATTTTTGGCACAACTTTGCGCGTCCTTTATTTAACTGCGTCCATGTGGATGTAATAATTGTTAATCATGTGGATGTAATAACTGTTAATNCCTTCATTAACATATGTTAAACAGATGCAAATTACTTCCTGCATGTGTGAAGGACACGTTTGTTTGATCCCTGCGCGATCAGAAATGATTTCTAATGTCATAAAAATAATGAATTTAATATAATGTGAGTGAGAAAAAAATCCCAAGTAAAAATAGGAATAAAATATGTTTATCACGTAAAGAACGAGTGATTGTGTGTTGGTATGTGCACGCGCGCACGCTGCTGTGTTGCGCAACCAGCTTATCACTTTGCACACAAGTTTATTACCATTACTGTAAACACAGAGGAACTTCAATGTTTGGTAGAACATAGATCTTTGTTTATTTCACAGCTGATATGAAGAAACGAGTCTCTGCGCCTCAGTAGAGAGTTCACACGATGTGACGTGATGTTGGAGAGTCCACACAAACGCTGCGCAGCCTTGGTGTGCAGTCTGTTTGTCTGTCAAGCTTTTGCTCTCCTGCTTACAGCATTTTCACAAGTTGTAAAGTGTACTTCCACGTGTCATTTTGGAGAAATCTACAATGTAAATGCAAAGTATGAAACATCTCCACTGCCGGCGAGAGTGCGCACGCTCGACCGCGACCATAACTCAGCCTTTAGAATCATATGGATGAGAGGGTTCCGTTGATCATGACTCAGCTTTGGGTGGACTGGACTGAGTCCTGATGGGTCTGCCAGCTCCCTCTGGAAAGCTCCTGTGGAACCCCAGTTCAATCGCWGCTGCTACACGTGCACGCATGGGGCACGTGGCTCGCTGCGTCGCGCTCCCAGAGCGCAGCAGTGCCAAACTAAAAATGATTTTTCCTCAAAACRGCTGATGAGCCACTCGTCATCAGAAATTTCTATCTGTTTATAAATAAAAGCTCWKYGTGTTACACTATTTATTATATCCTCCAGTAAGGCTGAATCCGTTCCTGTTAAATGTATTTTTGGCACAACTTTGCGCGTCCTTTATTTAACTGCGTCCATGTGGATGTAATAATTGTTAATCATGTGGATGTAATAACTGTTAATTACTATGTGTGTCTGGTGTGAACAATAATCATTTTCACATCATGAACAGTTTTTCAGAATCACCTCTAAGTGTCGCCAATGGAGCCAAAGCCACAGAAACGTGCGCACGCCAGCCCTGGAGTTGGCGTGGGGTTGCGCACTATTCTATGTTCAGTTGAGTTTTGATACATCCAGAGTTTTGCGTGGAAAATGGCGTACACAAGGTTTTTGTGCGTACGCACTGTTGATACATGAGGCCCCAGGTCTCTGTTAGAGGCAGATTAAAGTGGACCAGGACCAGGTCTCTGTTAGAAGCAGATTAAAGTGGACCAGGACCAGGTCTCTGTTAGAAGCAGATTAAAGTGGACTAGGACCAGGTCTCTGTTAGAAGCAGATTAAAGTGGACCAGGACCAGGTCTCTGTTAGAGGCAGATTAAAGTGGACCAGGACCAGGTCTCAGTTAGCCCCTGCTCATGCTCTCTGAGCCTGGATCTACCTGCTTGCACCGCTCCTCCAGGTTTCCCTCCCCAGGCAGAGAGGCCGTGGTGCTGGTCCGACCCGACAGATCCTCCCCAGCCCAGTTCTGAAGGGTCTGGGGGTTCAGGTGTTCGGAGGAAAACAGAACCAGGACATGAAGACAGGAAGCTGAAACTTTTAAAACCGTTGTTCTGGACCTGCARGGCCTACCTTCCGGACATCGGAGCTCTTGGGTTCCGTGGTCCAGGTGATGATCCGTGAGACGGCTAGGCGTGTCTCGCTGGAGTTGACGAAGTCGGCCGGGTCCATCTGGCAGGCCAGAGCCTCGATGTAGCGCAGGATGGCCACCTTGACCTTCAGGTTGGGGGTCTGGGTCTGGTCCACGATGAAGCGCATCAGGATGTTGAACTGCTGCTCATAGGGGAAGGACTCCCTGCAGGACGAGGGACCAAAGACCCATCAGCTGGACCCACTGGTCCTGGTTACCAGGGAGGGCTCAGAACCTGTTCAGTAACTTGACGACTCAGCAGTAAACATTCATGTTGACAAAGAAAACAACAGTAAAAAAACTACAAACCGTCACAGGAAGTGATCAGGTTGAGTTCAGGAAGAGTTTGGCTTTAGTTATGTCAAAATAAGAGTAAGTGTCAAAACCTGGACTGACCTGGTGACATCCAGGGCCTTCTGGACCTTGGCTTGGACGGACCCCAGCAGGTCAGCCCCCAGCTTCTTAAGCAGCTGGGTGAGCAGGACGAAGAGCCARTCCTGCAGGTCATCCCGGTGCAGGATGATGAAGTCCACCAGCGTCTCCAGGAACATGCTGAAGACCTGGAACAGATGAAGGGTCAGAGGCGGGTTTGGACTCAGGTTCTGGTCCCAGGTGAGCGGACTGGTTAAAGGTTAGAGGTGAGTCAGGACTTACTCTCTGGTGTTTGTTAGAATCCACAGCAGAGAGGAGCCATGCAACATAAAACACACCCTGTTAGTTCTGCAGCGCCGGGCTTTTACTTTGAAAAGCAGCAGCTTCCTGGTTGTGAACCTGAAGCTCGGGTGGTCTCACCTTGCTGTGAGGGTCTGCAAACATCCTGGTGAAGATCTCACAGAGTCTCTTCAGCTCCACACGGCTGAGGGAGAAAAACAACCGTCAGTGTTTTCAAAACAAAAGCAACAAGCCCCGCCCCCCTCAGACCCTCCGACCCACCTGAGCACCCTCTGGCTCCTCAGCAGGTTCTGCAGTCCCAGCAGCCCCTCCTTCCTCTCGGTCCAGTTGGCACTGGCGCAGCGGTTCAGGACCTCGGCCACRTCCTCGGCCTGACGCAGGAAGGCYGCGCCGCCGTTTCTCGAGCTGAAGGAGCGCTCCGAGCAGGCGCTGGAGGCGTCGCTGTTCGCATCGTCGTCCGAGTGCACGCCGGGCGACTCGAAGCGCCGCCTCGCCGGGCGCCGCTGGGACGAACGGGAAAGGGGCGGGGTTTACAAACACTTTCTTCATTACAAACAATTTTGTACCCATTTTCTACAACTGCATGAGCCGCCGAGTCCGAAAATCATCAAAAAAATAAAAAAAAAATAAAAAAATTTAAAAAAAAAACCAAATGCAGAAAGCTCGGCTGACCTGAGATCAGTCTGACGGTTCATGCAACTCATGATTAATGAGTTGAAGCAACTTTAAAAGCAGACAGAAAGGCGAGCAGCAGAGATGAGACGAAAGAGAAAATAYGTTTTAACCTCTTCAGCCCCAAGAGGTTTCCTTTGTGCTCGAAATAACGTGTCAAAGTGTAACTGAGTGTCTCAGCATTTACAAACTGTCTGAAWAATACTGCTATSAAAATAAAGCTAACACTGGGGAGATTTCATCAGAAGTGTAAATATCATATCAACTGCTACTGTTTCAGAGATAGTGAGGATGAGACAAAGGAATTAGGATTTTTTCCCCCCTCGCCTGATGTTGTTTTTGCATCATGCAGTAAATAACCCTTTTAAAAATATATTGGATAAAGCTAAAAAGTATTGGAAACCATAGGCCTACATGTGGACATTACCTGTGCAAAGATTCATCCTTCTAAAATAAACTAAAGTTACAAAGGTTTTAGTAAAGAAACAACTCAGTGTTTTGTCATTCTGCCTGTTGGGTCCGTCAATAAATGTTAAGAAATCTCAGCTTTTTAATTAAAAAAAATGATTTTTTTTTCTTACATGCCTGAAAACATTTGTTTTTAAATGTTTTTTTTTAATTACCCACACATATATTTCGCCCCTGTTCATGTAAAAACAATGAAAAATTATTATTTGACTCTAACTGGACCATATTCGGTCAAAATCAAGTTGAAAAAACTTTTGCATCTCTTTACATGATATTTTGGTATTTGCCTTGGCTTGCATTTCTAAAGAAAAAAAAGTCCAAAACGATCCAAACATTTTGACAGATCTGCTCTAATGTATTTACAGATTTTTGTTGATGCCATTTTGTAAAACTTGTTGACTTTCTGATTAAATTGTGGCTTTAACTGTTTGGTGGATACAGAAATGGTTTCATGAGCTTTTAGCCAAACACGCCACGTTTAAATAACAGATCTACAGAACCTGTCCTGGTGACATTGGATAAAATAAATATATATATATATCTCATGCGTGGTCACAAGTTGTTTTTTTTTTAATTGAATGTCACCGGAGGGGCATCTTAAGTTAAGAGACGTGCAGTTTTGCACCTGGTACCCGGGGCTAAAGAGGTTTGAAAACAGGTTTATGATGGACATGTCTTTAATGAAAATGTTTGTTTTAAGGTTTGACCAACGTGTGATCAGCTGTTTCAGTTCATGCAATAGATGTTTTATAAAAYGTTCTCACACATCTGCCTTCAACATGCTGAAACATCTGGAAACAGATTTTGTTTTCTTTAAATTATGGACCACAGTTTAAAAAGTCTGGAAACAGCAACGTTTTTAAAAATCGGAACTCTATCAGACCTGGAAAATACTTAAATTTGATTTCAGGCTTTTCCGTGAGTTTCCAAACTTTTCCAGGCTGAGAGCAGAAGAAGAATGATGTGACGTTTGGTTATTAATGTGATGAAACAAAAAACAAACTCGTCAAAGTTAAAGTTTAAAACTCTGCATGCAGGCACAGAACCCATCAGAACCGACCCACTACCTTCGTCCTGGGCTCCCCTAAGAGCTGAAAGTCACATCAGACAGAGAGGAAAGCTGACATCAGCGCCCTACATTAAACTCRTCTCTTCTTTTTCTGATTTTTAAACCTTGTCTCACCAGAGCGTCGGCGACCGCAGCCTCCACCTCGGTGCCAGTGTTCAGGACCCTCATGGCATTRACGGAGGCAGAGATCCGGGCCTGATGGGTCAGACGCTCTGAGAAAGAGACAAAAAAAACTGTTTATCTAAGTTTCTGAGACAAAAAACAAWACTTGATGTGTTTTATTGATCCGTCTCACCTGAGCAGCTGTCTGCAGACGACAGGGCGCTGGTTGAACGAGAGTGAGGGCGGCTCGCTGCAGACAGACATAAAACCATTTATAGTTAAAGATCAAAGACGTGTGTCTGTTTCATGTGAAACCTGTATAAGTCTGATAGAGGATTATTGAACAGAAGCTACAGAACATGCAGGCAGACGGTCTAAAGGCAAGAAAACAGGTTTTAGTTTTTTCTCTGAGGGTTTGGGGTGGGGGTGGGTGGGTCTGTGGGGGTCATGGGATACTCACCCAGCGGGGAGAAACCACGAGCAGGACTGGTGTCCCGGCTGCTCTCACGGCTGGTTTCCCTGCTGCAGCCCTGACTCGCGCTAGGCCGAGGGATCCGGCTGCGCACTGCAGAGACCGGGGAACCAGAGGGACAGGAGGACACAGAGAGGACGGTGGGACATGCAGGGTTAGACTCTGAAACAGCTGGAGACGAGTTAGTGAGGCGGCGAGGAGGAGGAGGAGCTGCAACAGGGAGAGGGTGTGGAGGAAGAGCATGCAGGAAACTAGGCCCTTTTTGTGTATTTTACTTCAAAACAGGTAATTCTTCATTCAAAACGTTACTGTTTTTTTTGATACAAATCTTGCCAGCGGTTGGCACAGCTAACCAAAATGTTAGCTCAATAACCGCTAATCCACTAATTAGAAATTTAACTTAGCTAAACAGATATAGCAGAAGTTAACGCTAACCGAGAGCTGTTAACTTAAAGGGGCAATATTATGTTTCTCAGGCATATATTTATATTCTATACCATAATAAAAGTAACTATGTCACCTTCAGTTGTTATTAAAATCTTGGTTATCTGTTTAAATAGAAAATAAACTTGACTTCTCATCATATAAGKTGGTTCTAGTCCCAACCTGTCATTTTTGCTCCCCTGCCTGGCTGYGTCAGGACACTACAGGATTTCTCAAACATGCATGAATGAGTCAGAGTAAGACTCTGTGCATGTTTTTGATGAGAGGATAACTTTATAACATGATATAAAACTCAAAAAAGTTGTTTTTACATGACATTGTCCTTTTAAGCCTTACACCACAGTACCAGGGACAGAATTGAACTTCCTGTTTTCCATTTCTAACTCAAGATCTGTTATGTAAACAAAGAAATCTCAGAATCTTGGCTAAAAGCTCATAAACAAACATTTCTTTGTCCACCAAAACAGTTAAAACCACAGGCAGTTAAATCTGCGAGGAAACAAACGGCACAAAATAACGAAAACACAGCATCAGCTGTTTAAAAACAACAACGTCTGCTGAAAAACATAATCTGAAAATCCATCTCACCTTTACTGTATTGTCTCTGAATCATTAATCCACAGGAATAAAAACTTATAAACTGAGTAACTACATCTCCCAAAGTACTTGAGGACATTTTCCCCAACTAAAATCAGCCGCTCTGACCAGATTACAAGGATCTGAGTGGATGAAAGTGACAGTCACTCAATCTGCATCATTTTTTGTCTCCCTAAAGTTGAAGACTAACGTAGGAGGATGCACAAAAGGCTAAAGATGCTACACGCACACAAACAAGGTGCATGATGTAGGTGTGCAGCGCTGCATGTGTGAGGGAAGAGTTGTTTTTTTTTAGGAAAAATGGCCAAAACAGTCAGGAACAAATGTGTGAATTTTGTTAGCAAATTTAAAGTCAGCAGAACTTACTTTAGCAGAAGCTAACTGGTCTGCTAACGGTTTCCAGGGTAGAGAAAATGCTAATAGAAATTTAAAAAATGTTACCATCGCCATCAGCTGTTAGCAAATTAGCAGAACTGTGCTCACCACTGGATTTGGCCAAAATAAATCACAGTTTTTTTTTTCCAATAATTAAACAGAAAAGAGGTTTTATTTAATCTTTGGTTCTGGTAAAAATGGTAAACTGAACACAAAAATATGAATAAACTGAATCTGATAATTTAGGTCCAATATGCAGCACATTTATTTTCTTTTAATTTAAAAACTTCTATAAATAAAATGCTTTAAGAAAACACCTATTTTAGAAATGAATATTTAAATTGTATATTAATTWATTTATTTATGTTACTATATTAATATTATTTCCTATGCAGCTTTATTTGGTTTTCTTCATACAGAGTTTATATTCTTTATCAAAATAAAAGCTCCTGTTTTTAACAGATTTTATTTTTTTGTAAATGATTTTCCAGTGAATTTGGTCTAAATATTCTGCTGAAGACTTGGTTCTGGCTGAGTTTTTKTATAAAGTTCATATATGAGACGTTGCAGAACCAGTTCTGGTTCTGAGGAGCCGGGTCATACCTGAACCGGACCTGCTGGGACTKGTCTCTCGGCTGCAGCCCTGACTGCGGTGACCTCGAGCTTGGTTCTGATCTTTCGGACCACCGGAGGATCCGATGGCGCCTCCACCTGGGGTCGGCCTCGGGATTCTGCCGTAGCCGAGCAGGCGACCCGGAGACCCGGAGCGACTGCCGGCTGAAACAGGAAGCAGGAAGTGACTCAGAGATCCGACCGTCACAAACCGGTTCTGTTTCCGTGAATAAAAGTCTTCTGACTCACGCTGAGACTGGGACACCACTTGTCCTCGAYTCCGACTGCGGCTGTCCGTCACCGGAGGAGCGTTTCCTGAACCCGTCCTCCGGGTTCTGACCCGACCTGAGGAGGAGGGACAGAAAGATGAAGATGGACCACAGATATGATCCTCCAGCAGGCACAAATGAATCCAGAACAATCACATGCAGCAGGACCAAYACAAAGACCGACACTAGAGACTGGACCGGATCCAGACTCAGACTGGTCAGTGATGGAGGGTCAGTCAGGTGTTCAGCAGCTTTACCTCAAACTTTATGAACTTTTCTAACTTGTGTTTAGTTTTCAGCAACAACATTCATCAGAGGGCAGAATATAACTCAGGTTCGACTCATTTAATCTGGACTTTAATCCTATTGGATTCTGGGACTCCAGCGTTTTAATGGCAGATTAACTCAGATTAAATTGGCTCTTTAACAAGTAAAACTTAGATTTTTATTTTGTTTTGTCTGAAACAGGAAGTCAGCAGGCACTTTTAGATCCTGGTTCTGTCCTCAGATCCAAAGRGATCCCGGGACAGAAGTTCAGAACCACAATGAGACAACATGCGTGGACAGTCCATGCACCAACACACGTCTTACCGTCTGCATTAACACACCACAGGGCGTCTGACAGGTGGGCGGAGCCAGAGGAGACAACAGGAAGTCAAGCTTTAGGTTTAGGTCTGATTTAGACAAAGTTCTTCAGGTGACGGGTCGAATTTTACAAGAAACAACTAAAATAAAAAACTTCTCCAGCTTTTAAAACCCACCATCTGAATCTTCTTTAACAGAAATAAAGTTAATGTTTGTGTTTATCAGATGAGTACTGAGTTTAGGGTCTGAATAAATCAGGACTGGATCTGTTCTGGACTAGGATCCTGACTCGAAGTAAACCTCAACCAGTTTTTTTTTTTGGGACGTTTCAGGACAGAGCTCAGTTTGGCCCGGTTCTGTTCRTACCGAGCGAGGCGTAGGATCCGGGAGGAAGAGCCGAGGCCGCGCTGAACGGCACGGCCGAGGAGACGGCCGGCATCCTGGTGCGAGTGCTAGCGGAGGACGCGGCGTTCACGTCCACGTCGCTGCGAGAACGCTGCAGCAAACCCGGGGAGGAGGCGGTGCTGGCGGTGGTCGTCCGGGAGGCGTGGCCTGCTTTGGCTGAAGAGACAACAGGTGAGTTTTTCAACAAGCTCCAGAACCCATGTGACTACAGCTGAAACACCTGAGCTTCTGTTGAGGAGCAATAATCTGACACAGGTGAACCTCTGCTCGTCTTTTTAAACTATGTCCTCTAACTTACCTGTTTGAAAACAAGAGATTCATCAGTTATTACTAGAGGTGGGCGGATCGATACTAAATATCGATAATATCGATACCAACGCTGGTATTGATATTGAACAATACTCGTGTAAAAAGTTCAATACTCAAGCTTTGTTCTTTCCCGCTCACACTGACTGCTGCACACGCACATTTTTCAGTCTACTCTCTGTCTGTAGTGCTGCACTGTGTCACACACACGTGTCTTTTGTTGTTGCACCATCATGTGGCTCAGCAGTGCTAGCCAAACAGCTAAGCTAAGCAGGTAGGCTGGCTGGCCCACCCACTCAGCGTTCTCACCGAGCCCTCTACCTCAGGACATTTTGTTTTAAGTTGTGTTGAGTGATATTTTTTAGTTTGTTTATTTACATAAAACAGAATTGTATTGAAAAGAAGAAAATGGCTTATTTTTTGTTTTCCTTAGAACAATTTTATTTAATAAAAGAAAAAAAGGAAGAACTAGGAAAGATGTCTAGTGGTGAGGGAAGAATTTTTATTTTATTTTTGTCTAACATATTTATTTTCCTAATGTTAAAGGAAACTGTTTTGTTACTGCTCTATTKTTGGCAARCAAAAATGTTGATTGTTATAATAAAGTATTTTGTTGTCACGTACAAGGTTTGGCGAAATTCTATCCTAGATCTTTTGGATCTTTTCAAATTATGAAGCTTAAAAGGTATCGATATCGATATCGCGATACTGGCGCTGTATTTACTTGGTATCGGATCGATACCAAAATTCCCAGTATCGCCCACCTCTAGTTATTACCATGGTAGCATAGAAAAAATTATATTACTTTTTATTTAAAACATTTAAATTACTTTGAACAAACCCAAAAACAGTTTCTGAAACCATCAAGAACAAAAGAATCTGTCAAATCTAACTTTAGATAAAATCTGTTTTTTATTCAAACATAACTATCTGCAAACAAACAATAATTTATTTGTAAAAATGTAGCATTAACTTACATCTGGCTTTGCTGCTTCCTGCTGAACTTTTCACAGAAAACGGACGACTGGAGGAGAAAATAAACAGGAGGATTTTTTTTACAAAAACTTCAACAAATCTCGTCAGTAAAATATCCAATCAGGGAGCAGCCGACTCACTTCAGACTCTCCTGAGATGAGGAGGAGGAGCGATCCGATGCCGGCAGTGACATCACGCTGTCTCCGCCCCCCAGGTGAGCCTGTAGAGCCTTCTGATAGGACGATTCTAGACCCTGGTACAGAAGCTCCGCCTCCCGGTTGAAGTGGGCGTGGAAACCCCAGTAACACCTGCAAATGGCAACAACAGGAAGCACTGGTCAGGTTGTTCGGGTTCAAAACGATAAAAACCAGAAATCTGGTGCCGGGTTTCAGAGGTCCAACTCACTTCCTGGCCACAGAGCGGGCCTCTGCATCAGCGTCGTGGATCCCTTTCTTTATGGACTCCAGTAGAACAGCTACATGTCTGCAAACAAAAGGAGGAAGATCCCTTTAAAACCTGGTATGGTCCAGTTCTGCACCTGAGTGGTACCGACTGTTCAGACGTCAGTTCTGGTTGTATTTTTAGATTCTTCTATTGTCCAGAAGAATCTGCAGCTGCAGAGGAACATTAACTAATCTGATAAAATAAACCTGACCCGAGGTCCATCGGTGCTTTGATTAATGCTCTGTGTTTTGGTGAGGGATCGATCAGAACCAGAGAACTCCCCTGGTACGAAGAAGGAGGACTGGGGTTGGCTCGGGTTTCCTCCCAGCAGCCCAACAGAAACACAAAAAGCTTTTGGAGACAGACAGAGATTCACCAGTTTTGCCATGGAAACTGCTGAGGTGGACCCGGTGTCGGGTTCCCTCAGGCAGAACCAGAAGGAGCTTCTGGCTGTTACCAGGTTGTAAACGGAGAAAACGTTCAAGTTGTCATCGTACGGTAAATTATCAGAGAAAACATTCAGGTTGTGAGGGTTCTGACAAACAATAATTCTCACCTTCCCAAACTGATGGTCTGCCAGTCCTGCAGAACCAGGTCCAAAAACTCAAAGCACCGTCTGAAAGTAAAAATAATCTTTAACGTTAAATAATATACATTTATAGTAATGTTCATGAATAAATTCATAAATAAATAAAGAAGAGATATGACAGGAATAACCAGAAAAAATCTATTTAAAACACTAATGTACTTTATATAAATTGTAAAGTACTCTGACATCCAAACTGAATTTAAAAAATGAATCATTTATTTAATTAAATGGAGAAATGAATAAAAACATAAAAAGTTAGTACTTAAAATGAAAACTTTCAAACATAAAAAAAACTTTAAGGGAAGTTAAAAAATACGGTATAATCAAATAAAAAGAAAAAAATTAAACTAAATACATAAAAATACATTTAAATCCACTAAAACTAAGTAAATTAAATCCATGTCCTACCTTCTGACAGCCACAGATTTGGAGGTACAGTTGCTGGTGATGATGGGGATGAGACGGGGATGGTGTGTGTGCTGAAATAAATAAATAATTGATTTCATTATTATTATTATACAGTTTATTTAATCTGTGGCTCTTGACTTCAAACTACAGCTCCGCTTATATCCACCAAGCGATCAAACTGGGATTATGAATGTTTGAGAAGTTATTTTAGATTTTCATCAACTTTAAAACTTGGTTATCGATCATCTGTCCGTGTAATGGCTCATCTTTGATGGCATCAGAACCAGAAGCGAACGTACTCGGAGGATGAGGCGGATGGCGGCCACGCCGGACATGGCCATGACTTTGGCACTGTTAGGGACCAGGTTCAGGAGGGTCGGCATGACGACCTCTGCCATGTGATCAAAGCGTCTGCCGAGCACAGAGGACAGGTGTCTGCAGAGGACGAAACAGAGAAGAAGTAAGAAATCAATCTGTCAGTGTTACAAACTGGTGCAACAAGGACAAATACAGGTTGATAAAACYACTTGATTCAAAGGTGACCTGTGGTATTATTGCATATTTACACTCTAAAGAACAAAAAAGTTCTGACTTTTATCTAAAATGATCCGGACCGCCTGGTTCCTGTAGCTGATCTCCTCACCCCAGAGTGACGCAGGCCTCCTTCACCACCTGGGAGCGCAGGTCTTTGGCCGACAGCTTGAACGCCGCCTCCGTGAGCCGCAGCTGCTGCAGGAACTCATCGAAGTCTGCAGCTCCGGCGAGGAGCAGCGAGCGCACCTTCTTCAGCTGAGGAGACAGGAAGCAGAGGTCAGTGACCAGAACAGAAGCTGCAGAGACAGAGAGGAGGTCAGGAAGACTTACCGAGGACACTCTGAGCTCCCAGTCTCCCTTATCATCGGTCAAGATGTCTCGGACCTTTGTCATGGTCTCCTCCACCTCCCGGCTGGAGTAGATCTGACAGAGGAGCTTCAGGTGAGAATCATGAGGCTGTAAGGTTCTGATCCAACACACTCACTTCCTACCTGGACTGTGGGGACGTCCTCAAAGGCTAGAAGGAAATCCTCTTCATCCACAGCTCCTGCAGCCGAACCGTCTCTCCCTGTAGGACGAATGTGTTAGAGAGCTGGACACAGCTTTAAATAGGACTGGTTGGTTCTGGTTCTGACCTGCTGACTTGCTGCTGGAGGAGGAGGAAGGTCGTCTGAAGGAACCCGTGTTCGCTATCTTCTTCCCCGGCAAAGACAGTGCTTTGGAAGAGGAGGAGGAGCGCCCGCCGTCCACAGACTCATCATCCTCAAAGGTTTTATCTGCAGGGGAAAAGACAAAGCAGGAAGTGGTCACATGACCAAACACAGAGTCCTGACCAGTGGTGGGCAGCGCTAATTCAAAAATTAGCTCCACAGTTTCTAAAGCGCTTATGATACATTTAGGTCCGCAACTTCAAAAGTGTTTATGCCATAGAAAAACTAGCGTAAGCTAATTTTGAAGTGCAAGTTCAATTTGACACTTACCAGCTGGCAATGATTCTTGTATAATGTAAGCACAATACTGCCAACTAGCAGTGTGTGAACCCTTGTACAGCTCAATACTACAACTGCCGATTGCTGGGGATATGATTTCCTGAAACAGACCTTTGGCTCCTGGTGTAAAAATTAAAAAGTTGTTGAGGATTGCTAGTTCGGCTGCTTCTTTGTCTTTTTCTTTTGTTTGTTGTAGATTTTTCATTAAAGAAGCATCAATAAAGTAATTGGAAAACTGTTTATTGGAAAACTGAAGCGATGCATTCTGGATACATGACGGATTTGATTTGTGACGGGAAACGAAAGCACGGAGTACAGGAAACTATCTGCAAACTTCAAAATAAGAGCATGGATTTTAAAGTTTTCCATGTAGTTGCTCCAGTTGACCACTAGATGTCTGTCTAACCCAGTTGGCTGATTGCTTCAACCAATTACATCAAGTATTGAGCTCCAGCGTTTAAACTTTTTTTAAAAAGGAGCTCCAATTGTAAAGTAAAATAAATCAATACATACAAAATTTTATAGTGGATTACAAACGTTTACTGTTTTTGCTGGGAAAGGGAGTTCTTAACATTGCCTTCCTGCTACGTAAGCAGACACAAAGCATTGTGGGAAATGAGAACCGTGGTCAAATGCAACTGTCAGCAAGGATGTATACGTTTCCAATAAGTGTGTTTATCTGGGAGGGGTGCTGTTGGACAGATCATCTGTGTTGTGATTCATTGACAGCCATACCTTCTGCTGTTCAAGATAATGATGACTGGTAGATAATTAGTTACTAGAGGTACGGCATTTTAAATTTAGAAAGCGAAAATCTGCTTATGAATTATAAAAATCAGTAAGACCACTAAAGCGCAAACGAAATATTTAAGTCTGCAATTAGCGGATTTGAGCTTTAGCGGACTGGTGCCCACCACTGGTCCTGACATCACATGACCAAACACAGAGTCCTGAGGTCACATGACTCAGTGAGTCCCAGCAGGCGGACTGGACTGAGGTGTTTTCTGGAGATAACTGACATTCCTGCAGAATGAGGAGCTGATCCGAACAGAACAAGTTCTGTGTTCTGTGTGAGAACTGATCCAGTTTGTGCTGGAGGTTCAGTTAACACAACAGAACCTTTATTAAACTGTTTTTCTGTTTTTAAACAGGTCTTGAAAAAAATACAACAGAAATGTTGACTGTTGGTGAAATATTACCTGATAAATGTTTGTTAGTAAATAATTTAAAATAAATAAACAGATTTTTATTTCTCAGTTTAAGAACAAAAATCTAGAGAAATAAACCACAGGAGTCTGATAATCTGCTCAGACAGCACCACACTCTTTTTCATTATTCATAGTCCAAACAGGACCAGACAGACTCACACATGCACACACAGACCCCCACAGACCCACACAGACTCACACAGGCCCCCACAGACCCACGCAGACTCACACAGACCCACACATGCACACTGGCAGCAGACAGGAGCATCATCAGCTGAAACAGCTAAAGTTTATCAGTGGATTCAGAGAATTATTCTAAGACAGACTGCTCAAACTGAGACATGGTTCTGGTTCCTGCATCACGTCCTGAACTATGTCCCCACAACAACCCAGGACAGGAAACTGTCCAGCAGGAAACAGAGGAAGAGCAGCAGCTTACAGGAGCAGATCCGTCTGCAGACCAGTTTCCTCAGCATGTTGACAAACCAGTCTACAACCAGGAGGTCTGATGGTCCTCCAAAGACCTCCTCAGTCCCCCTCAGGTCCACTCAGTCCCCTTCAGGTCCTCCCCCTCCTCCTGTCAGCAGCATGTGCTTCGAGTGATCCTCCTCCTTCGTCCTCTGTCTCCCTTCAGCAGAGACTCAGGATAGAGGAGGAAGAGGATGGATGGGAGGAGCCAATCAGAAGAGAGGGAGGAGTCAGTGAGCAGACAGAGGAGACAGGGCTGGTGGGAGGAGCCAAAGATGATGGACAGTCAGAGTGAGGACTGAGGAGAGGAGGACTGAAGGTCTAAATTATTGTTAAGAAATATAATTAAACTCTTTAAACTAATAATATTCTGGTGTCAAACTGAAGGCTCTTGGGACAAATTGAGCCACGGTAGAAAAATAAATCAGAAATTGACTCATGTTTATTTTAAAGCTGGTCCCTTTTATAATAAAATTTTGAATGAAGTACTAATTTCTACATTAAAGTTGGTGTTTCTGTTTGAATATTTGGGTCAGGACCTTTGAGCCAGGAGGACCATGAACCTCAGGTCTGATGAAATGTTCCTGTCTGACGTGGTTCTGTTGGATTATTAAAAATAAAATCTTGATGCAGGAAGTAGTTTTAAACAATAAAAGAAGCAGAACAAGAGCTAAAATGAGCTAATCAGATGGTTAAGTTCAAGCTTGGAGTAAATAAACTCAACAAAACATGCTACAATTAGCAAAACTGTAGCTAAATGCTACAAGGAGGAAGATAGAAGCTAAAGGCTAGCAATAGCATAAGAAGACAGTCAGTAGCTGAAGCAGATTTAAAAGAGATCTGGGGATCTGAGAAGATGCCTGTCTTTTTTAGAGAATGTTATTTTAGCATCCATCTCCTGAATGAGGGCAACATTTTGATGTAGGACCAGCTAAAACAGTGGAAGTAAACAGTCGTGTGAACTCTGACCAGACATCAGCAGCTCTTTGATTGACCTGCGAGGACAGGTCCTGTCTCTGTCTCATCATGTGACTCTGAGGACAACTGCTGACACCACTCCTACAAAATAAAAGCCCTGAAATCTAAAAACCTCCTTCAATTTATTTCCTGTTTCTCTGTTCAGTTCAGTTTGTCTTCCTGCTTCCTGATTGGCTGGTTAGATCAGAGCTGATGGCTGTTCGGAACCAAAACAAAACAGTCTTTGTGGTCAAAACAATATTTGGGAAACAAAGTTTTACTGTTTAAATGCCTGAATCCTGATCAACTATCAGTCCGAGCTGAAACCACCAGGGCCCAAAACTGTAGACCAGGACCCGTCTCTGAAGATAACGAACTGGTCTCGTGAGGTAAGCAACCCTTCAAACTGTTTGTGGAATCAGAACCAGAAGAAGTTCAAATGTCAGCTCACTTCCTGATGGACTACAAGAGTATTGGGGGTTTGGGGGTTGGTTTGTGGATCTTGATGGTTTCCCCCAGAATCAGTTCAGAGACCAGATCAATTTGGAGTCAAAGAATGGGATCAAGGATCCTACCTGACAAAGGTGACAGAACCATGTTCCCCGACCTCTGGACCTCATCGAATTTACTGAAGATCATGTTGAGCCTGAAGACAAGAAGCACAGAGTCAGACCTGCTTCAGTGGTCCACAGAACTCTGAGGCCACCCGGGGGCCAGTACCCGACCCAACAATCAGGGTCTGAGCAGCCTCAGGACACGCTGGAGACAGGAAACATAAACAGGAAGAGGAGCACTTGAACGCACCGTGACTGAGGCAGACCCTTCTTCCCCAGGTCCATCCTGACCCGCTCCCCCACGTGCCGGTAAATGTCCACCAGGCAGCTCATGGCTGCATCCCGCACCTTCAGAACCACAGAGACACCAAGAGGGACAGGATCAGAAGCACAGAGACACCAAGAGGGACAGGAGACAGGATCAGAACCACACTAATTATAGGAGGAAACAAGCTCAAAACGTGTTTATAAATTAAATAAAAATCAAATAAGATTGTAAAATAGATCAATTTAAGTTCAGAGGGTCGTCCGAGGTCACCTGAGCTGTTGGGTCTCCCAGCAGGTTGCACAGGTGAGGGACAATTTTACTGAGAGTCAGACTCTGAGAGCCGAACCTGAAACAACAAACAAACCAACAGTTTTGTTGTGAACTGCAGGACTTGAAACCTCCTGTTTTCAGATGCAGACGTCTGAAGAAAAACAACTAACATAGTTGTTGACAAACTTTCTAGAATTATTCTATAGAAAACTTTCCAGGTCATTTTCCAGGAGCTGCTTAAACCTAAAGTTAGTTTTTTGAGATAAACTTTATTTTTCAGATGTTTTGTTGTAAAAATAAAAAAGATGTTTCTGATGTAAAATAAAAGCAGAATTAGTTCTGGATGAGGTGGAGACGCTCACAGGTTCAGAGTGGACACGAGACAGAGACACAGTCCTTCTCTGGTCCTGTTGTTCTTGTGTTTGAATCCTCCCATCATCCTCTCCCAGACAAACTGTCAACAAACAAATAAACTGTAAACAATTTGTCAGCAAACTAATTAACTAATTGTCAACAAACAAACAAACAAACAAACAAAAAACAAGCTGTCAAACAAAAACTGTCAACAAACAAGCTGTAAACACACTCGTAAGTGATCCAGTCCTACAGTTTCTAGTCCAGTCTAACAGTCTGTGGTCCAGTCCTGTACCTGGGGATTGGCTGCCTCATCCATGATCTTCAGCAGCAGAGACTGGTCCTGGTCTCGGACCTGGTCCTTGGAGTCTCCCAGTCGATCGATGAGACTGGGTAGAACTGATCCGACACAGAAATACAAACAGCTGATTCATAAATAAAGTTTATATTGTTATTATTCTCCTGCACTCTGCTGGGGAAACAGGCTTCTATTTATATTAAAATAAACAAAAAACTTTTAACAAAATTAATTCAATGTTTTAATAAAGAAATTAAAATCTTTGTGCATCAAAACCAGCCTCGTGGTGCGTTCAGGTACACCTCATGAACTTTCATCTACACACATAAAAAAGGGTCAGGTTATGTAAATGCAGGATATATTTTTATTATAAATTAATTTTGTTTTGTTTCTTCACTCAAGTCAGATTTTAAACTAAATCATTTTAATTTAGCGTTATTTTCTTAAAACTATTTTTATTTTATTTTTTATCAAGAAAGGTGAAGAAGCTGGTTTTTCAGTTTAATAAAAACATAAATAAAAATGTGTTATCTAGATTTTTTCATCATAAATTATAACAACTATATAATTAAACTTATTTATTTGTTTATTTATTTATTTCCTGTAATTATCAAATGYTTTGAAAGGTTTTTTTTCTTAATTTGTGATTTTCATTTTATGTCCGTTTTTTTTTAAACTGAGTCTGTTAAAATAGTTCCCACCTGAATGAAGGACTCACCTGTCCCCACCTGAGTCCTGAACCTGTCCTGCAGTCTGCTGACCAGAGCCGACAGGATGTCCATCCCGACCAGAACCACCTGAGACACAAACACACGCATTTACAACGGGAGCCGCAAAGCATTGTGGGTAATCTGCTCAGAGCAAGGAAAAACGCTCCAAAAATAACAAAAAACAAACAAACAAGCCGTTTTAAAGCACAAAAATGCGAAAATGAAAGTTTAACCCTAATCTATGTGAGGTGAAACACCAAACCAGGAACAGAACCATGACTCAGACGGGGGGGCGGATTTTATTATGCGCTCCGCGGTTCGGGTGCGCGTTAACTTTCCTTGTCTCGGGGTGGTTCGGGAGGCTCAATGAACGTCTAGTGAGAGTTTCCCTGCTGACACCGAATCAACACATTCGCATCACTTGGGCGATTTCGCTCAGGAAAGGTGCAATTTTTGGAACAAATTTCTCAAAAACAAGAGAAAATGAACTCACGAGTAAAAAAGAAACAAACAGGTGGAGCCATCTGCCGGTCGAGCAACGGAACTACATCCTGCTCTGATTTAACTACAGTAAATCAAGCCTGATGCTTCAAAATCAATCCGCATTAAATTTACCTTCAGATAAAGTTTAAACCAGATTCCTCTGACACATCTGAAATCCAGCAACTTATTAATATTTAAAACATTTTTCCTTTTTAATGACTGTAATAAACTAAAATAAAATCTGATTTTTATGTCTTTAGACATGAAACAAACTGAGATTTAAAAAAAGGCTTTAATCATTCTTTAATCATCCTGTTAAAAAAGAAGCATCAGCCAGGTCGGCTCAAACCCAAAAAGAACCATCAGAGGGATCCTGGTCCAGAAGTCTGCCCTGAAACCAGACGAAGAGCTGATTTATGGACGGGATCCATCTGATGGATCAATACTTGTTTGTTTGTTTGTTTGTTGTCCGAGGAAGTAAATAAACTTTATGGGAACGAAGCTGTCTGGACCGACACGTCTCTGGACCGAGTTCTGATGGGTCCGAGCAGCTGGTTTCCTCTGTAAATGTGTCACAGAGAGAAGGAAACCGGGTCAATCCAGCTCCGAGCTGTCGCCTTGCTCACCTGGGACACTCGTCCTCTTTACTATCAAACGGATCAGAACCAACCCAGAACCAGTCGGACCGACTGAGGAGAGGAAACTGAGCCTTCAGTCTTATTGTGGATGAAAACATGAATAAATCATCAATAAGTAAAGCAATCCAAACAGAATGAGACCTTAAACGCGTCACAGAACCGACCCAGATCAGGTCAGTAAACGCATCATTAGACCCTGCAGGTTCATCTGCAGCTGATCTTGGAGCAGTCCAGGAACATCTGACCACACAGACCTGAGCCAGAACCCAGCAGGGACACTGAGCACACACAGAGACAGGTCTGGATCAACAGAACCACGCTGAGACCTCCTGCTGAGGTTCTTGACCTCACCTTGAAGTTGCTGGAGTTGACCCAGGAGCTGGCCAGCGTGTCCACCATCCTGTCCAGCATGCTCTGGTCCTGCTCCAGCCCAGGACACTTGTCCTGGCTCAGGATCAGCTCTGTGACCTCCTGGCCCACCTGGAGCCTCCTGCCCAGGTCCTTCTGCAGAACCAGGTCCAGCAGATAGTCCATGCTGACCTTCTCGTCCTCCTGCTGCTCCTCCATGGCTGCTCAGGAGGTCCTGTCAGGAGCCGGTTCAGAGGCAGATGCAGTGAAGTCCTACAGGAGGAGGCTGCAGATCTTCATTCTCCTTCACACAGAAAACAGCAAAGTTTCACATTATTACACTTGAATAAACCCTCATTAATAATGACTGTACTGTAATTTAATCCTAATCTCTCTCAATGATTATTATCCTCAGTTTAATCCCAACTAACCGCTGACAAACAGGTAAAAATGCTGGTAAACACAGACAGGGCTGTTAGCTTTCGATGCTAACTGAGCAGCTAACAACCTCCACCTGAAACACTGAGGCTAGCAGCTAGCATTAAAGCTAAGTTAGCTTCCTGACCTCCAGCGGTTCTTCTAACGACACCAACCAAATCCCGAGGGACAACTAACCTGTCACTAACCTGCTAACCGCACACTCAGCCACTCACCGGATGGACCGACCCGGTCCGGACGGGAAGAGAAGTCCAAAGAGGCGATGCTGCCTCCGGCCACGAAGTCCCGTTACTTTACATTTAGAGCCGGTCTGGTCCAATGGTTGCTGCGGGTTCACCTGCAGAACTTAACTCAGTTTATTTTTAACGATTTGTTCTCTGATCTGAGCGGCTTTGGGTCGTTCCTTATTAATAAAAAACTATTGTTTATTTAAAAAGCTTTTAAAAGTGTTTTATTCTGGAGTCTAGAGCTGCAGAACGACGACATCTGCCGCAGAATTGTAGTTCTGCTGGTTCTGTCAGCAACGTTTTATTACAGACG